GAACGCCCATAATCAAGGTAAAAAACTTTACACCAGCCAATCGTCACTCGCCTCTTCTTTAATCTTTTGAACGAGATCCAGTGTCGACAATTCTTTTCGTTGAAAAGTGTGTAAATTCCTCTCATTCTAAATCTCCCAATTTACTAGAAGTCCAAAAATAAAAACGAAGTATTAGAAAAACTGGTGCCAACAGTCCGTGCCCAGAGTTCTGGGGTTTGGCACCCAGGTCGTGTTGTTCACTTGTACAGTGGCTGAAGCATCAAGCATATGCCAATCAAAGGTGTTCGCGCCCTTTCCCAGACGGACCGCGTCCTATCTGGTGGCACACAGTAGGAATTCGCGTCAGATACATATAAGACGGGTAAAAAAGGACTGGAATGCCAACAAGAAGCGATGTGGGACGCTTTACCTATACTGCTGCCGTTTCCTGAAGTGCACGAGCATCGGGTATATGTTCTCGAAGGCGGTGTCTATCTCTTCACGCACCTTGGCTCCAGTGAGGACGATCTTTCCAGAGACGAAGACGAGGATCACGATCTTGGGCTCCACCATACGGTAGACCAGTCCAGGGAAGATCTCTGGCTCATACTGTCAAACATTAGGAGAGCAACAGGTTAATAAGTTCTTCAGGTCAATGAGGATCAACAACGACAAGGCACACAAGTTTTGAACTGAAGAAAGATTCAAGGACCGAGCTCCAAATTGTTGCTAATTGCGCAGCTATGAACTTACATTGGCAAACGTGCCACTGGCCAAAGCGAGGCCCTCCAGACGAATAGGAAATTTGACGTCACATGACCCAACTATATTCTGAATCTTGAAATCCTGCATGTCACCAGAACCCATTGAATCAAGGTGAGAGATCAGGAATCCGTTTCCTTTCTGAACGAATCAAAGTGACAAAATCATTACCTTGAACCGAGCTGGGAAACCGAGCTTTTGGACAATGCGCGCAAACTGCAATGGAGGATAGCATTAAACACCATACACATACATATTAGTCACATGGCAAAATTCAGCAAACAGCCAAAATTGGCATCCATCAACAGTTTATCCCTGCATGGCTAAACAATATATATGACAAGACTTTACCTTCCTCGCAGCAAGCTTTGAATGGTCTTCACTCTTTGCTCCAGTGCAAACCATCTTCCCTGAAGCAAATACCAATGCTGTTGCCTTCGGATCCCTTATCCTCATGATAACCGCAGCAAAACGCTGTCAAGTATCAAGGTTACGGTGAGAGTGAGACTGCAGTTGATAAACGAATGTAATACATAGTTCCATGGAAAATGTCCAAGGTAAATGAAAAGGCAGTAGCGGCACCGATCGATGATACCTTTGGGTTGTACTCTGCGTTACGAGCACTGTTGGCTATTTGTTGCAGATCCAACTGGCAGTCCAAATTGACTGTTGATACGATGTTCCTGACACATCAAACAAGAGGCTGGTTAATTAGGACTCCATTATTTCAAACTAGGCAGCAAATTAAAGAAGAAATCACCTACCAACCCTTTTGAAATTAAATCAAGAAAAAAAAACATCACAAAGCAACAGCAACTCTCTTTACCTCAAAAAGAAAAAACAGCAACACTTTTACAGCCAGATCAACAATGATGGCATGCTAGTTCCTTTTGGTGCAAGTTCAGCACACTTTAATCTCCCCATGTCATGCTAAGGATCAAACAGGCCATGCATAACTCCCCTACCCCACGGAGATATAACGACTGCTGTTTCGTACTACTTGACTAGATTAGTATATATGCATCCAAAGATTGAGCTCTCAGTCTCAAGAACTTTGTAAAGAGGTGGCTAAATTCAACGCAAAACGTTCAGTCGCAATGTGTTCAGATGTTCGAGCAAGGAACACAGAATTCGAATCCTTTCATAACCTGACAGGATGAGACGCGAATCACCCGCGACGCAACGCGCAACGCCCCGAATTGGTTCGCAATCCACGCAGACGCAAACCCTCATGCCCTCCCGGTGCGCAAACCGTAACAGATCAAAACCAAGAGCCGGTGCAATTGGTCGCATCCAAATAACCACGTACCCCGTCCCCAATCCCCATCATCATCCACAAAACGTCCCAGCCAATTCATTCCCTCGCGTCCAAGTTTTCACCATCCCCAATGAAAACTCCCACGCGTCACCGCAATCGATCTGCGTCGAGGGCTCAGGACTCACTGGCGGGTGGGGACGAAGCCGGACGGGTGCATGGCGAGGTCCACCCCTGGCTCATACGCGTCGTTCATCGCCGGCGCTGCGGCTCGTCCTCCTCCTCCGCCCCACGCCCCACTCCCGCTGCGCAGCCCCAGCCCCAGCGCTGTCGGATCCGCGCCCGCCGCGGAAGCCATGAGAGAGGACTCGGCGCGGCGCAGGCGTTGGGGGAGCTCGGAACGGAGGCAAACGGTTTGAATGGGGGGTGGGTTTTATTTGGCGAGAGAGGTTTGGGCGTGCGGCGGCCTTGGTTAAGTTGGTTGGTCGGGCTCGAGTAGGCCTGGAAAAAAATTCGGAACTCGTCAGCTCCATCGACTCGCTAGTTAGTGACTCGGTCTGACCTCGGCTCATTTGAATTTTTAAACGAGCTCAGCTAGTACTTTAGCTCGGGTAATTAACAAGTCAGCTTGATCTAGCTCGCAAGCCGCTCGCGAGCCAAAACGAGAAGGTAAATTAGATGACAACAACTTAAATCAGCTCATATATGTCATGATCCATTGGCCCAATATGATAAAACCCTAGCCTCCAACTCTCACGCTCCCACCCCTAAATCCTAGAGTTCCCCCATCCACTATTCCGCGCAGGCAAGGCAAAGCCGTAAACACATGCACGCTCGGCTGTTCACCTCCTGAGCCGTCGCACGTGGCACACGCGTAAATCGCCCCGCTCGCTAATGCCTTGCAATCGCAGCTTTGCTTACTCCCTTGCAAGCCAATGCACATCAGCAAGCATTAGCTTTGTTTTTTGATTTTTTCAAACCAGCATCAAATCATCATTCTTCTTATTTATTTTGTTTTTCTCAAATCAGTACTCATCTGTGTCTTTTGCTGGATGAATAACCTTAAAAAGAAGAAAAAAATTGAAGTTAATCGTGGCCGAACGAGCTAGCTCGAGCTGCCAAGCGAGCCGAGCCGAGCTGAGCTTCTAGCTTGTTAGTATAACGAGCCGAGCCGAGCCAGCTTGATAACGAGCCAAGCCATAACAAACCAAGCTATAACGAGCCGAGCTGGCTCGATATCCGGTTCTAAGAATCGGTTCATTTTCAAAAAAAAAAACATAGGAACCGAAAAAAAAAATCCCGTGTTCCGTGAGTCCCTGCCTCTGTTTCCCTTACTAGGACGTACACGACGTTGGGCATATGGCTTGCTGGGCCTATCCGTGCCTTTTTCAGGCTGATGAAAAGCTCTGAATGTGCACTACCATATCGTGTATGCCGGCTTATATAAGAACAAGAAAAGTGAAGAAGGAACGTTTTGATACCTCAGATAGTATAATCATTTCGTTTCTTTAGAGAAAGGAAGAAACAGATAGTATACCGAAATTAGTATACCGAAATTTCTTTCTTTATCAGGTACGTAGTATACACACATCATCATCGTATGAAGAATTGAAGATGAAGCAGTGACGCTGTGACAGCGATGGATGGATCCCAACCTCGAGTACGAGCGACCTAGGGCTTGGATTCCACCGACTTGATTGATGAGGAAGAAAGAAGAAGGCGGGGGCGGGTCTCTGGATTTATAGACGTGTGCTGGGTTCCGAGTCCGGGTAGGAGGTGGACTGCGGACAGCCCGGCAAGAAGGGTGTCCGAGTTGTCAGCTTCGCGTGTTTGAGCGGGCCGGGAAAGAGGCAAAGAGCAAGGACGTCGGCTTTTGCTCGGTAGCAGAAGACTGGAGAGCTGGAGAGCCACATGTGGGTTTTGTTCGAATGTTTATTTTTTTAAGGTTAGTGCCAACGGAGGTTTTATTAAAGTTTTATAGACACGAAATAAGTTCACGTGGTACTGTAACACAATCAACAACCAGCTAAATACTACTCCCTACTACTCTGTCCGTTCCACGACCGTCATTACAGGACCAGACACATCTACCAAGAGAAGATGGTAAATTGCAATATTACCCCTGTAGAAATCGAACTGCACCCAATCTAGTCAAGCACGGAGAAGATTCGAGAGGCAGACTAGATTGGACGCAACTGGATTTTTACAGAGGTAATATTGTAATTTACCATCTCTTCTTGGTAGATGTGTCTAGTCCTATAATGATGGTCTTTGTGGGCTGGAGGGAGTATATGACCCTGAAACGACGGTTTATTTAGGACTTTTTTCAAATCTTAGAACGACGGTCTTTCTGGAACGGGGAAGCAGTGCCACGTCCGTAGTAAAAGCCAATGACGTGGCTATATCTGCATGGTTTGGTACATGTAGAGCCATTAATGTAGCACATGCACAACGAATAGGTTTCTCCAAGATGCAGTAAAATGCCAACTTACCGGTGAAAGCGAGCTAGGAACAGCAACGCCAACTTACCGGTGGCAGTGGGCTAGGAGCAGCCTTTTTTCTCTCGTATGAATGTATGATGCGCACAGTCAGGCGATGAGTCAAGCGCCCGCTCACGTCTCTCTCCTTGTTTCTCTCTCATCCACCTAGGTGGTCTTATTATAATTGCTCTCGTGGGGATAAAACTTGTCTACACAGTTTTTAATACATTAGTCTTAAAAAACAGTGATATAAAACTCCTTAATATAATTTCTTTATTCTTTCCACAAGCGTGCATGTCCAAAGCATAACAAGTGCGCACGCGGAATTAAGCAAAACAAAAAAGGGCATGTTTTGCTTTGATTTGATGATTTGATCTGTGCAGTAGTGACTGCTAGGATTGTCAATAGCGTCGCACTTGCATGGCTATTTTCTCCTCCGGAGGGAGAGGATCAGGACGACGCCCGTCATGTCCTCCTCCGCGGCCGGGCCCATGTACCGCTCCTCCGCCGCCCTGGCGTACGCGTCACCGATGCCGTCGACCCGGAAGTGCCGGACGAGCAGCCACTCGTCCAGCACGCGCAGGAACCTCGCCATAGCCTTGCTCCTCTCGGCGTCGCCCCGGGGCCCTCTCTCCAGGAAATCGTGGCTCCTCCTGCTCCACGGCGCCGCGGAGCTCCTCGAGGCAGGGGCTGTAGAACGGCTCGTTGAACGAGTCCACCTCCGCCGCTTCGATCACCCCCTGCGCGCACGCGCGCCACGCCAATCTGCCGTTAGCGAGGCACTCAAATTGCCATCACCATGCATACTTTTGTAGCGAGCCAGCTACCTGGGATGCCAAGTCTTGTAGGATCTCGGCGATGAACTCCGGGTACCGGTCTTGACTGGAGAAATGCTTTGCAGGTCTACCGTAGAGGGAGAGCACCATCCATCCGCCGGGCACCATTTCTTCGGCCCGTGACGCCAGAAAGCGCTTGAAATCCTGCTCAAATTGCCGGGCGTAGGCTGCGGTGACGGCCGGCGTGCTCGTTCTCCCGGCCGACACGCTGCCCTTGTTTATCAGCACTCCGTCCACCAGTTCTTGCGGAACCTGCCAAATTCCTTACTCCTAGTAAACAAACACTACTGATTTCCGCATGGTGTTAGATTGACATTGACTGATTGGCACGCATGCGACGGTTTCGATCGGCCGGGCGGAAATGCAAATTAATCTGGGAGAGCCAGTGGAGGCTGAAGGAGGAGCAGACCAAGTGCAGCGTCTTGGCGGGGAAGAGCCGGCCGTAGAACGACCCCGGGGCACCGAACACCATGACGAGCGGGCCGCTGTTGTCCTTGTCCACTCCCCCGTGCCCCCGCAGGAACGACGGCACGTCCTTGAACACGGTGTTGAAGTCGTTCTCCGGGAGATCGTTGAGGTACACGCAGATCTCCCGGCACCGCTCCGCCCAGTGCGGTTGGCGCCGCACGGCGCCAACGGCGGCCGACGCCAGCGCCAGGTCTGCTACCCGGAGGCAGCCCGGCACGGCCGCTGATCCACACAGGTCCGAGATGGCCTCCTCGACCAGAGGCCTCACTCTGCTCTGCACGCCACTCTGAGAAACTCACACAAGTTACATCGAACATCGATCTGATCTAGGGCCAGATGGCCACGTCGTCCCAAATGATCTGAGACCGCGTGAACGTGATGGAAGAGGAAGAGGAGGGCATGAGAGGGCAACCTGAATAGCGGAGTTCTTGGCGTAGCTCGTCTCTCCTTCCCCGCTCATGCAAACGCTCTGCACGGACGCCATTAGACGGCTGGCTGGCGATTGAGCTGGACGCCTGGACGTTAGAATGCACTGTATTGTAGCACTCAAAAGATGTTCTTGGGCGGATCAGAATCCTGCACTGCCATTACTGTTTGACACCATTTGCGTCTGGATCGTCCGTCGGCACCGGCACATCAGAGCCACTGCCTGGTTAAGTGGCTATCGCACCAGACCGACAGTGACGTGCGTAAACCACGCCACGAGATGCACGTGATGCCTACAGAATGGTCGGTACGCGTGGCAGAAAGGTGCCGGTGTGCACTTTCATTTTCACTTTTTTTTTCTTTAGAAAAAAGTATATAAAGTAAAAGATACATTATTATCGCAAAAGAAATAGTCTGGTAATATTGGAAATAAAATAGCTCGAAAAAAATAACCATGCAGTAACAATTAAGATATTGATTAACTAGCAAGCATGCCGTAGGGCGGCAACATAATTTGCATTTTGCATCATTGATTCTAATAGACTCAGACTTCATCTCATGGTTGGAATTGTGCTATTCTAACTCGCATAAGTATGAATCATGAATTCAGGTCACAGACAAGACAATGCAATTCATCACATAAACTACTCGTTGTAACACTGGCTATGACGCTCAGGAGGTTGAAGTGACACATTGCCATGAGGAGAGTGTGATGGATGAAAATTTAGAGGAAAAAATATTATGTATAGATATAGATTTAACCAAATCATTATTTTGATCCTTTTTTTGAAAAAAAACCCTCAACAACCAGAGTGAAGAACCAAAAGTGACAAGAGGCCATGGCGGATCTAGAAAAATAGCCAGAAGAGGCTTGTCTCATAATCTTTCATCCCTAGCCTCTCATTCCAAGCTTGAATAGGTGCAAATTTGTAGTAGGGGCTTAGGAGGGGCTTCATGGTTCGAGCAGATGTAGTGGGGCCTCGAGCCCACCCCGCCCCGGTGCTGGATTCGCCCCTGCCAAGAGGGAGAATGGGAGCCTGAAAATTTTCTCTTCTAAAGAATAATAATAACAAAGCGGACTATATTCGGAGGCAACCAAATAACCTACAAATCCTAGTAACTAGGCCAAAAAATAAGGAAGCGTTTAGAGAAAAACATATGCAAAACTAAGTTTCACGCCTTAAAAATCAGCCTAGCTAGTTTCCAAAACTGACTTCGGAAGAAAAATACCAAAACCCAATAAAAAGATCTAAAATCATGTTTTTTTTATCGAGGGCTTCACAACTCCACAAGGATTACTTCGTGGCCGCATTTGGAACCAGCTTTGGCTGGTTTTGGTTCAGCACGTTGTCCTCCACTGAAAATATCAAACCTTGATCAAATGGACCCCACAAATCATGAAAATTGATCGAGCGGTTCATAACATAATAGACAACAACTCCAATAAAAATCTTTTCGATTCAACCAAGTCGCCAAAAACCTGGCCAGGCCCGATTTAGAACCCAACTTGGCTAGATTACCTAGAAAACAATGAGTTTCTCTCTAAGAAAAAAATCTAAATCGATCCAAATGAGTTCCAAAAAATATGAAACTTGGTATACACCTTGAATAACTCATTGTGAAGGTACTCCCACATAATCTTTTCAAAAGTATTAGAGATTCACCATGAATTGAACAATTCCTCTCTCAATTTAGGGTTTTCTCAAAAAAGCATAGAATAAGAAATTGGAGGTGCTTGTGGGAAATCTAATTAAAGACAACCTAAATATGTTACCAAGACTTTATAGCATCAAGATTAAACACAATAAATAACTAAAACCACCCAACCCAAAGGAAATCGTGATTTTTTTCACCAAAGAAAGGATTTTGAAGAAGAAAAGGAAGGATTTTGGAAGGCGGTAATGGGGAGTTTGGTGCTGGGATTAATCTCATCATGTACCCATGTCCAAAGTCTCCAAGACATACCTCAAAACCTTCCAAGAATTCAGATCAATCGCTGCTCCGAAAATCACCAATAAAAGGTGTCGAAAATTCACAAAAATGAAAAGCTAAAGGATTCAAAAGGAGGGGACACAGGAGATAAGATTATCCTACTTCCCTACATCCTCTCACTTTGGTGAAAAACTAGCCTAACAGGGAATCACACCTCTCTAGCCTAAGTCCTCTAATGTTTAGAGCCCTTGGCTAACCCTAAGAAATAAACAAATGGTGAAACATTAACTATCTTGGGCAGCACCCCTCTTATTTGTAGAGGGCTATTACATATTTCAAGATTACGTCTAGGTTTAGACATCAACCACAAAGTCATCAGGGATAAAATGGTCCAAGTTGATCTTACATGCATCAGCTGACCACATGCCCTTCATGAAGTTGCTTTGCCTCGACGCGAGCTCTCTAATGACTCCACATGCCGCCTCGAGATCCTTCTCCAAGTTTTGTGGCTCAAACTTAAAAATAACTTCACCTGCGGTTTTGAGGGAATGGGTCAAGAATTTCTCAAGAACAATAGCTAAGAGCCCCGATACTTGCACTTGGATCTAGAACCTACATGTTGATGCTCACGATTTCAATAGTCATATCGGTGATTTGGGGATCTCTTGAAAAGTGTTCAGTGCTTATTTTGGCAAACTCTCCATTATCTTTCTTTGGTTGAGTGGCACATACTTCCATGGTGACCGTTTTTCCAATTATGAAGAATGGCTAAGACACCCTACTCACATTGGACCCAATGCACCATAGTAGGACAAGAAATTTTGAATGGTGTACCCTCCAAGGTTGTGTAGCTGGTACGCAACCCCTCCGATGTTAATGCATGTCTTCCATGTCATCTACCCATCAATCCACAAAGTGCTCGCGACGCCTTGACTTGACTTGGTCCAACCCCAATCTTGACTTTGGTCAATGCCTTCTTCATCACCATGTTGCATGTGCTCAACTCATTGCCATGCCCCCATGCCAATTGTTAGCCATACTTGGTCCATCCCCCACTCTCTTGGTCCCTTTGTCTCAACCTTCATGATTGGTTTTCACCGCCTATGTTCCATCAACCCAAACCCCTCACTTGACCTTCTCCAATATCATTGACCACTTTGATGGACTCAACATCTGCGCATTTACAAGCCAAGAGACATGTTGCATCACACACACCAACTCGACACCTTGGTTAGTGAAAGCTCTAGTTTGGTTTTGGTTAATTGATGAAACCCTAAGTGCTAACCTAGTTTATCAAAAGTGATTATGAGATAGGTAGCACTACTCCAAGTAATGAAGCAATGGCGAAGATCATGACGATGGTGATGGCATGATGATGATCAAATGCTTGAACTTGAAAAGAAGAAAGAGAAAAACAAAAGGCTCAAGGCAAAGGTATAAATTGTAGGAGCCATTTTGTTTTAGTGATCGAGACACTTAGCGAGTGTGATCACATTTAGAATCGATAGCCGTACTATTAAGAGGGGTGAAACTCATATCGAAATGCGGTTATCAAAGTGCCACTAGATGCTCTAACTCATTGCATATGCATTTAGGATCTAGTGGAGTGCTAACACCCTTGAAAATATTTGTGAAAATATGCTAACACATGTGCACAAGGTGATACACTTGGTGGTTGGCACATTTGAGCAAGGGTTAGAAACTTCACTGGTGGAGTGTCCGCCCATAGAGTGCAGGCAGTCCGACGGTGCCACCGGCGCTCTTTACAGAAAAGACGAAGGTCACTGTAAGTGACCGGACGCTGGTCTCAGTTGGACCGGCGCGTTCGGTCAGTGACAGCAGTGAGCACGCGGTCTCGGTCTTGTGACCGGACGTTGGCGCGAAAACTGACCGGACGCTCAGGGTCTGAGTCTGATCAGTGCTGACGTGGGACGCACATAGGAGATATTGAGTGACCGAACACTGGGTGAGTCCGGTCGGGCATGACCGGACGCATCCGGTCATGAAATCTCGTGTTTGGAACCTTACTGAAAACGACCGGACGCTAGGGTCCAGCGTCCGGTCACTTTCTAACTGACGCATCCGATCATCACTTGACCGTTGAGATCGGGCGATCAACGTTTGAAGCAGGGGACATGTGGCGAAGATCTGAGGACCGGACGCTGGGGTCCTGCGTCCAGTCAATACGACCGGCGCGTCCGGTCACCCCGCATTATTCCTAGTGAAGGGGTACAACGGCTCTATTTCGTGGGGCCTTCTATTTAAGCCCCATGGCCAGCTCTAGCTCACTGAAAGGACCTAGGATGCCACCTAGAGGGGGGGTGAATAGGCGTTTCTGAAAACTAACACCTTCAAATACGAAAACAATTAGTAAAGGGAGTTTCCAAAAAGGAAACTCCAAATAAGAGTAATACCACCCCTCACAAGTTAGCCACAGAGTATGTCAAAGATATTAAATAAATCTAGGAGCCACAATCCTGCATCACACCGATTAGTGCAAGGATCAAATAAATTCAGCACTGAGCTCTAATACCGGACGTGTCTGGTATGAATACCGGATGTGTCCGGTATACGCGATTTCTGCAGATCAGCCCCGAACTTGCTCCTTTCTATTTCTATCTTAAAACCAAACTGCAGGTACCTACTAGAGATAACAGTAAACACAGAGAACCCGCACAAGAGCAAGAGCCACACAAATATCAAATGAAATGTGAATTGAGACACGATATTTGTTTTACCGAAGTTCGGACTCGTTCGAGACCTACTCTCCGTTGAGGGGGCTGCGGGCGACCCAGCGAAGGTCAGCCCTAGAGGGTACCACGAAGGTCACTCTAGCTAGAGTCTTTTCCAACTCCTTTTTCTCCTTCCACTAGTTGATTCTGAGGCGGCAGAATCGACCGTTACAAACTTTCCGAGGCACACCACAATCTCTCGGGTGCTCTCTGGCGACGCCTAACCGTCTAGGACCGAAGAGTCCAAGAGTAACAAATGCGAATCATGAGATTGACAATATGCACAAGTGCTCAAGTGGTTGGTTTGCTCGCTTTTTGAATTTCACTCAACCCACAATTTGATTTGGCAAATTTGATCAATCACTCACTGAGAGAGGGTTGGGAGAGTTGGCAA